CTGAAGGACTAACGTTGAACCAGTGTTGGTTTTCAAACAAACAGTGCCAACACCAAACACCTTAACCTCACCAGCATTACCCATCTTTAACACCTTAGAGTTAACAGAAGTATAAGATGCAAAGAAGTCTTTTCTTGGTGTGACATGTGACGTAGCTCCAGAATCTACTATCCAACTTGTATCTTGAGATACAAAATTGATGACGTCTTTGTCACAAGCAAAAAGAAAGTCATCTCGAACAACAACAACGACATTGTTTCCATTATTTTCTTTCTTCTTCCCTTCTTTAAGATCTTGTTTCAATTGTTTGCAAAATCTTATAATATGTCCTTTATTTCCACAATGATGGCATATAATATTTGGATTCCTGAATCTTGACTTGCTTATACTTTTACCTCTACTTTTTGGATCTCTTGTCTTATCTCTCCCTCGATTTTCTGTGTACAAAACATCTGAATGTGAGGTTGTGCCTTGAGATTTTCTTCTAACTTCTTCATTCAACACACCACTTTTTGCATATTCCATAGTCACCTTACCACCAGGAGCAAAATTTGTTAAAGAGACACGAAGAGTTTCCCAAGAATCCGGTAGAGTATTAAGAAGCCAAAGTCCTTGTATTTCATCATCAAAATTAACACCCATTCCTGATAGCTGATCAAGAACACCTTGAAAATCATTTATGTGATCAAGAATATGATTGCCCTCCTTGTATTTAAAGGTCATCAATTTCTTTAGCAAGAACAACTTGTTATTGCTAGTTTTTTAAGCATAAAGCATCTCCAACTTTTTCCTCAATGTTCTAGCATGTGTCTCATTCACAATATGGTTGCGAACATTATCTTCAACCCATTGTCTTATATATCCACATATTTGTTGGTGTTCGAAATCCCAATTTTCATCGGTCACAGTCTCAGGTTTATGAGCAGCAAAAACGGGAAGATGCATCTTCTTCACGAACAGTAGATCTTTCATCTTGCTTTTCCATATGTTGTAGTTTCCTCCGTTTAGACATACCATCTTGCTCATATTACCCTCCATATAGAGAACCTCGCTCTGATACCACTTGTTAGGACCGAAATAAGCAGATGTAACGTGGAAGCTAGCAAAGCGAACCTCGAAAGACCATGAGTAAGAAGACAAACGAGAAATATACAAAGACACAAAGATTTAACGTGGTTCGGTCAATCGACCTACGTCCACAAAGGAGATGAGCAATCCACTATATAAACATGAGAGTACAAAATATAAAGAGAAATAACCTCAACCAATTCACTCGGAATACATGGGAGGTTCACACAAGTGATAACATATCAAGCTTGTGACCCACAAATTCTCCCCTTAACCAAAACTCTCAAAGCCCTTAAGACTACATTGTGAATGTTGATTAAGTTCGAAGGAACAAGCCTATATTTATAGAGGCCTAAAACTTTTCCTACAAGAAAAGGACTACTCAAAATATTGATACTTTTTCCTAAAAGGAAAACCTATTTATGGTAAGAAATCAGGGCAAATAACCCCAACACCGATAACCCGATAACAAAAAAAAATCAAAAGCGTTATCAAAACCGCTAAACCAATAACCCAATACTGATAAATTAATAACTTTTTTTCGATTCGAATTATCGGTTTCGATTCGATTTTGAACAACCCTTCATTACATAGCAGAAAATGATACTACCACAGTATTATAATGGTATCAAAATGGTATTCCTAAATTATACGATGGTTCATAAATGATACTACCACAATATATTCATATTATTATGATATTGAAATTGTCTAAATGAGGAGCAACCACTGTTTCACCAAGTCAACCCTCAATGAGGCACATCTAACATCTTCAATGATATTATAACAAACATTCAGGAAAAAATACACAAATGTCAAATGATACCAACATGGGATATTATCAAACAAACTAAAGGAGAATTGGACCTAGGCTAAAAAGGATATTATCAAACAAACTAAAGGAGAATTGGACCTAGGCTAAAAAGGAGGCACATAGGATAATTTGTTTGGGCCGAATGGACATAAAGGAAGTTATTTGGAAAAACTGCGTAATCACACATACATCACTATCATATATATTATATTTACCTCTAGTTTAAAACAATTACGTATTACCACTTTTAATATTTATATCATATATATTAAAAGATTTAATCAGATACACAAATTCCTTAAATATAGTATTGGATAATTATCTTAAATTTAAACTCCTTAATTAATGGTCCATTAACAAGTTAAACTTTTTCTATTCCCATCTGCCGATATTGTTCCCCACCTCCATGTCCAGCATCCCACTTTCTTTCTTCATCTTCTCCCTCTTTATTTCTTCATTCTCTCAATACATGTATGCATGTTCACATCAATATTTTACACATAGGTTTGTTTCTATTGTTTTATTATTCTCATGTATCTTGGTTTTGTATCTGAGTTAATATTCATAATGTTCTTAAGTTCAATTTTAAAAAGTTTAACAAGTTAGGTTTTATATTTTTTGATTTTTTTGTTTCTCAAACACTTTAATGGTTGATCATTCTCAAAATCGAATGATTCTTGTTAAAAGTGCTACACATTAACAATATTATACTAAATCAGACAACTTTTATTTGTTTATTTTTACTCATGAACTTCTCATTGTAGGGACTGACTCTTCATCCATCAAAATTCAAGCCGAAAATAGATATAAGTATAGGAACGACCCAATCAAGATGGAAGAATAACGTCAAATTTTAATTAACAGAACAAACACACCATTAGATGCAACAATGTTGGATACATCAAATTAATAAAAGATACATGAAATTAAAATTAGATCAAATAAATAGATACATGAAATTAATACTAGAAACATATAACAAATACACTAAATAAATCTAGATACTTCTATGATACATATGGATATACATGTATGATGATCATGCATCTAATTGTTTAGTTTGTTGGATACATCATATATTGATAATAGATACATCAAATTAATGGGTTTATTATTTTGAGAGTAATAAAATGAAATTAATCAAATTACATGACTAAGATATACATGTTTTTTTTGTGTGTTTATTAATAATATTAATGAATTTATTATTTCAAAGAATAATAAAATGAAATTAATAAAACATAAATACACTCCTTGATTTCCGCCTTATATTAAGAGATTTGATTAATTTAAATTTTCAAAATCAATTGTCCATGTAATCTGAAAATCCTCAATTACTTCTCTAATTAAGGAAATCAGTTATAACCAATTAATTTAAGCAAATAAAATATGTATCTCAATTTTAAAATTCGGCAGATACATGGATCTCACAGATTTCAACTCGTATATCCTAATTATGAAATATGGTAGAGGAAGTAATATTTAAAACTATCGAGAATCTTAGTAATTAGGACCTAAACTAGGGGGATTTATGTAGTTTGCCCAAGTTATTTAAGAGTGGGCTATGAAGAGTTTTTGGCCAAAAACATCCTTAAACTATACCCCAAACTTAAATTACATCCTTAAAATATCTTTTTTTGGCAAAAAAACATCCTTTAAATATTTGAAAGTTAACCATTTTCATCCTTCTGTTAGATATCTTCAAAAAACTAAGGGATCCTACAAAAACATGAGTAGTTCACGTGACTATTAACAAAAGTTTTCTTCCATAATTTCATTACATGCTATAAGAAGTTCCTGAAAAAAAATATTAAAATCTTAGCCACCATTGCTTACTGAAACAAAAATTGTTTGGAAGGTGTGATGATACATGATTTGCTTTTTTTCTCATTTAGTAACTAAAAGAAGCTGGAACTTAATTATCTTTACCTTTTTCAAAGCCAAATTGTGTTTAGATCAATAAATTTTTGGGCCAATCTGATATTGAAGTGACCAAAATATTGATTATGTCTCACATTTGAGTTTCATTCTACATTATTAGAAGCGGAAATCTCCAACAAAAGCCGCTTCTAGCATATTAAATTGAGAAGAAACATATTTCAACTAATAATATTTTTAATATCAAATTACATGAAAAATAAATGAAAAAAAAACTGTCAAATTAAAAGATTTTGCATAATGCTAAACTCAATTACAGAAAAAGTTCACAATAGTATTTTTGGCGTATCTAAGAATAATAATTACAAAGGGATGACTTGATTTTTGTGGGATCTATTAGTTTTATGATAAATTCAAGTAGAAGGATGAAAATTGCTCACTTTAAATACTTGAAGGATGTTTTCTGCTAAAAATGATACTTTAAAGATGTAGTTTAAGTTTCGGGTATAGTTTAAGAATGATTTTGGCCAAAAACTCGGGCTATGAATGTAATTATTATTATTTTTGTCTAGTAAGTGTAGTTTTCCCTTAATATTATTGCTTTATGAATTTTGCACTATTGCATTAAAAAAGTTGTAAAGTTATGGCTATCTAGATTAGAACATTTGACCTCTTATGACAAAAAATTTAACTACACCAAGTAGACAAGAGTGTATCTAATACAAAATCATGCTGATAAATAACAATTATACGTTCTCCATGAATAATCCCACCACTTGCGTAAAATATTTTATATGTTACTATCCAAAACAGTGTGCCGCCCTGAGCTTCCAAATTTTGGATCCACCATAGATGGGAGAAGGCAACAAACTTGGAACCTCACTTATGTGACTTGTTTTTTTAATTCTATCAGATTCACAAGACACTCAAAATTCTTTTAAAGAAACTTCAATTTAGAAGTTCAATATTTTCATTTCACAATTTATACCAAAAGATATGAGCAAACAAAGCTTCTTCTTTTTTTTGGCAATTTGGTTGATTTAAGTCATAGTCCAAGTCTAATATATCCATATCCAGCATTAAAAGAATTGTCCCCTCCTCTATTTATAACATCGTGATATAAACCACAAATTCTTGATTGACAATAAAAGTAGTGGACCAGTTTGAAGAAAAAATTGTTGAAAAGACAAACATACATGAACAAGTAGAGGAAGGCAATTAAAGGATGAAATCAATCTTGATCAAGTGTGATACATGAACATATTAACATAATAACAATATAATCAAACAACAGAATCAATCAATCAATCATTTACAGTACAAAATAAATCATAGTTTTCTCACACAACATAAACTAAAATTAAACGAAATCATGTGAATAACTTAATTAAGATATGGAAAATCTTCTCCTCCTAGGCTTAGTAAGATCTAGAGCAGCATCATCAACAATATTCGAAGTGTCCTTTGATCCATGTTTAAAGGGATTGAATTTGCCTAATGTTTTGGAGACAGAAGAAAAGAAGGTTGTTTTCTTCAAACTCCCTTTATGACTAGCTGATGTTCCTTGAGTAGAAGTTGTTGTTTTCTGTATATCTGCTATATACATCTTCATCTTTAACAACTCTGTTCTTAAAACTTCATTTTCCTTTACGAGGGAAACATCGGCTTGTAATTGGTTCCTTGTTGCCATGGCTTCAGGCATGTTGTTATTAGTATCATCTGCTGCCCCGCTCCTTATCTTGAGTTGATCGAAATAGAGAGCATGAAGTACTATTTGCACCGGCAAACGTTTGTTTTGAGAAGCATGGACTCTTGCTTCATGTGATAGTTTCAGAGGATCCATCACACTGCACACTTTTTCTCTTTCAATTTCATCCAAATGTGGATGTGCCTGCAATTTTAGCACAAAATATGTTGATTAATTGCTGTGTTTGGCGTAATCAATATAATTGTTAACGTCTTGTAGATACTCATATACATATATATTTAAAGATCTCACCTTCAAGTAGATATCAACAGCTCTATAAAGATCATCATCGGCCTTTCTCGCGCCCTTAGGAACCAAAATAGCAATTCCATTGAATTTTGATATACTGAGATCTCCAAAAGTAGCGATTTCACCAAGATATGCATCGACAGTCTTTGCAACTCTCTGCATTGCCGTGGTACAAACATCTCCAAAATCACCACCTTTAAACACTGCTACACTCTTCTCTTTCTCCATAAATCCAGAAATGATTCTCCTAACGCTCTCAAGATCGAATAGTCTTTCTCCATCATAAGTAAAAGACAACACTAACAGATCGTCGACTGTCACATGTTCTAGTATTGCTGATATCCTTTTCTCTAATTCATTCTTGCAGCTACTGGTTGCTCTTAAGAAAATAGCTGTACGCAGGAGACAACACAAGAAATTGATTGGAAAAGCTGCTTTCTCCGCAGGCAACAGAGTCACAATCGACTCCAGAAGTTCCCGTTGATGCATTCTCATATCTGAATCCTCTGGTTCCATTAATCTCGTGTTGTTTCCTGAGTGGTCACGTACAAGATCACGAAGAGATCTCTCTGTATATGTGATTATAGCACTTGCTATTGTTAACGCTTTTGCCCCACGAGCTTTCATTGCAACAATAATTCTCTCGAAAAAAGCTACATCTAAGATAGTTAACTCTTCCGTCCACCAATTTGGTGGTGATCTGCTAGGAAAATTCGCTTCCACACACGCCTACAAGGATATAATTATAATTAAGTTGAGTCTATCACCTAATCACATTAGAATAGATGATGTATAACTACCTTAGCACCGGCGATGTCAACACATCTTTGAATGATATTGAGATCATGTGCAAGAGGAAGAAGATTTTCACATGACTTTAACACGACAAGTGCACCAGAAAGGCTAGTCAAGGCAACTTGAGCTAGAAAATCCTCTGTTCGGCTTGCGAGATTGTTGTCACAGTATTTATCAGTCATTTGAAGATATTCAGCAGCACAACGAAGAGCAGCAACGTTATGTACTGTGATTTCAAAGTTAACTCCGTAGCAGAACTTAGCTGCCTTCTCAAACATCTCTGGCCCTCCAGGAATATCCGATAAGTTTATACGACTTACATCACTTTCTTTAGTATCAAGTATAAGTTTCCTTATGTAATTGCTCTTTGCTACTAGCATGAACTGACATAACAAAAACAGCAACATTAGTTAATTGTCATTGGAATTGCTGCTAAATATCATTTTTGGTGCAGTGGTACTAGCTAGCTAGATCTTGAATGTGTACATACCTTGTGAAGATTAAAGTTTGCTTCACCTACTTCAACAATAACATCAGTTGGAATTTCTTGTGAAAATACCCTGTAGCATGGACTATAATGTTAACACAAAACAAAACAGATATATTATGAATACATGAAGGAAAAAGATTAATTAAGAGATAGTAGTAGTACCATTGGCCAGTTCTTTCCATTGCAGCAGAAAGTCTATTGGTATTCTTGAGAGGAATAGCCATGTGAGATTTTAGTGCATAGAGGGAAAGTTTTATGTGGATATAATAAAACTAGGGGTCTTATTATAAGATATATAGAGAAAAGTTGGTTTATCTTGACGTGGCTTTTTCATCCTCTTTATTTCTATTTTCTAATATAATCTAAAGTTATATTGTATCTACTATGCCTTTTTGGATAACAAGAGTAACTTTTTTTTATCTTTACTAATAAAACCTATCATAGTCTTGTAGTTTTCGAAACTTATGTCATTGTCCATTCTACCCCTCAATTAACAACAACTATACAACAATTTTATCTTTTTAGCTTTTATTGTCACTTTTTTGTTATACTCCCTCCCTCTGTCCCTAATTACTTGTCTAGCTTTTCTTTTTTAGTTGTCTCTAATTATTTGTCCATTTTGACAAATCAAGAAATGACAATTTTTTTTTACCTATTATATCCTCAATTAACTACTTTGAAAAAGGTAAAACTTTTTGAAAATTGTAAATTTTTAATTTATCTACTTCATAATGAATAGGGATAAAATGGTAAATTCACTATGACAATCATTTTTTTTTAATAGGTGTGTCAATTCAAAAATAGACAAGTAATTATAGACAGAGAAATATCGTACCTACTCTGCCTTTTTGGATAACAAGAGTAACTTTTTTTATCTTTACTAATAAAACCTATCACAGTCTTGTAGTTTTCGAAACTTATGTCATTGTCTATTCTACCCCTCAAATAACAACTATACAACAATTTTATCTTTTTAGCTTGAATCTTTTTGCTTTTATTGTCACTTCTTTGTTTGATCTTGACTTGTGTCTTGGATCAAGTGCACCAAGTAAACGAGAACATTATTAAATTACCTATAGTAAAACTAAACTTATGTGAATTTCGTCGAATATGTATGCAACAATGTTTTCGGCATGTTGTATGGGATAAAAATCGAGTTTGGTAGGTAGATTTATACGTTTCGACACATAAAAGCATTATCTTAATTCTATTTGGATCAGGGTTAGTATTTCAATTCTCGATCCATTAGACAACAACAACATGATATAAATATATGACATGGGGGGTTTGTCAAATCGGTGATATCGTGATGTTTGTATGTGATCTGTGGCTACAAATATTGTTTTCACTAAACCTTCTCCCCTCGATCTTTGTTTATCACCTAGTCGAGGGCTCGAGGCGAGCTCTCAACAATCTTCGACCGCACACCATTCCAATTGGCCTAATTGCCCCAAAGCCAAATCAATAATTTGATTGATTTCATATTCTTCTTCTTAGAATAATCAATATTTTTTAAATTTATTCTTATTTTATCGACTAAGTCAAAAAGAAAAGAATTTAATTGATCCTAATTATCTTTAACAACCCTCATTTCAAGAAAATTTAATTGTTCCTGCAGACACATAATTTCTCCGATAAACACATGTAGATAATTTATTCTCAATATATATATATATATATATATATATATATATATATAACCTTAAAAGCATGAACTCCTAACTTGAATGTTAAATTACTATAATATTCCTAACTTAGGTTTTGACTTTTTCGATGAGTTATGACTTTTCTGATAAGTTGTGACTTTTTTCAAAGGGTTGTGATTTTTCGATGAGTTGTGACTTTTTCAAAGGGTTGTGATTTTTCGATGAGTTGTGTCTTTTTCAAAGGGTTGTGATTTTTCGATGAGTTGTGACTTTTCCAAAGAGTTGTGATTTTTTCAATTAGTTGTGACATTTTCAAAGGGTTGTGACTTCTCGGAAAAGTCATGACTTTTCAGATAAGACACAAAAAATATTTGTTCATGCTACCCTTTGTTGGCTATAAATACAGGGGCTTCTTCTCAATTTTCCATCACAATTTTTTTAATCTTCTACTCTTCTTCTTCTTGTATTTCAAATTTTTTTGTGTGATTTATTATTGTTGAGAGAGTTCGAAGTTTAGCGGAATATGATGTACCACTATTTTGATGACGTAAGTCGTTCTATCCTAAGAGGGTATATTCCATAACATCGAGTACTTGAGGGAAGTAATTTTGATGATATAATAATTTTTTTCCCTTAATATATACATTATTAGTATGTAATGTTTCAATATACAAAGTTAGCATGATGTAGTCTAAATTCATTTGTTTTTGTTAACAATTTCTCTTATAATGTAGATATATGCTTCTGAATATCTTTTTCTAAAATTTAGAGAATTGTCACGATTTATTTTTGATGCTCAAGACAAAAGAATGACTTTTTTATATTAATGTTACTTATGTGATTTAGACTCTCAAAAAATTTGCTTCAAAATAGTTATTACTATATAAACATTGCCCTTTTGTTTTACTTATTTACTATTTCATAATATTTTAGTATTTTGGATGAAGAAAAGTTCATATGACTTGTAATAACCCCAATTAAAGTTTGTATTAGTTTAATTTTTATTATTTATTTAATAGTTAATTTTATGAGATAAATATTTTCATTAATGAAAATATATATTTACATTTGGGTGCATGGGTATTTGTATTTAAATTAAAGTATTAGAAATGTCACAAATGTATTATCAAGTTAACAACTTCTAACTTAAAAAAATATTATTTTAAAATGTTTCGAGTTCTTTTTTTGAAAAAACAAATCTCACAACAAATGTGAAAATATGTGAATATATAAAATGTAGTTGTTCTCTTTACATGCTTATATGACATCTAAACAATTTGACATGGAATACACAAGCAAATCACATCTGGTTAGATGACAAGAAAAATACAAAACAAATAATGTCTATAAGGTAATATTAGTGAGATAAGACTAACTACATGATTGAACCTCATCAAAGTGAAATAAATATATACATTATTACATTTAACTAATAAATTTTTCATTCACCATCTTCATAGGTTTGCGTGAATAAGATATATATATATATGACGATTACTATAACATATATTTTGAATTGATAATCACGTGCAACACACGTGTCAAAAAACTAGTATATATATATATAGATATAGAAAGAATAGGAGCTTGAAAATAAATATCCACCTCTAAGAATGCAAGTTGAGGGAATATGCAAAATATTTAATAAGTGAAAATGACGGGACGAACGAAAGGCGAAAGTTCTAATATTTAACCTTATCTTTGTTTGAAAATATTCCTTTTGTTTACGTAAAAATAATGATACTGTTACTATTTTAGGAGTCAAAACTAAATTTTTTGATTTATACTATTTTATTTGTATAAATTTATGTCACACTTTTTGCGTCTTTAGATTCAAATCATCTAAATTTTAAGGGTATAGTTCTAAATCTATTTTGAATCATTGGAAAAAAATACAAACTTATAATATTCGCGTCCTTTTAATTTATTTATCTTTTATTCATTTTAGTTTGTGTTTTTTTAAAAAATATTTTCTAATTTGACAATTCTCTAATTTTAACATTTCACATGATATTTCAAAAGACCAAAAAAATTAAAAATATTTTAGTATGTGATACATATCCTGAATATAAGATCATAAAACTAAATTTGTATATTTTTAAATTCTATGCCTAGATAAACTAGAGACACATAAATTAAAGGCATAATACATAAACTTCTCATTTAGCTTAGTTTTATCTATATTTATTTATTTATTCAACTTTGAGTGTGTATAAGTAGACACTTAAACTTATATATAATTTAACAAGTAGATATGTACGTCCTACTTAACGTCTTAATTGGCAATTTGCATTCTACACGACATTTTACGTGATGTCCTACAAGTATTGTATCACGCGTAGAACATGTGTATATACTTATTTATTTTTATATAAATTTAAATGTCTACTTTTGAACAGTCAAAGCTAAAATACATAAATGTCAAATGAGACAAATAAAATACTTAGTCATCAATTTGGCCTTCACATGTTTTGGTTGAGTCTTCTATTTTTACATCCTTTGAACTTTTTGAAATGTCATCTTCCTTGATAAAAGTTGTTGAAGCTTCAACTTTCAAATTTTTTTTTTTATTTTTTTTCATCTTTTATTTTTAATTTGTTTGTTGATATTTTTTTTCAAAATCAGATTTTATAGAATAAGTAGTGAATAAAGAAAGTAGTTAATTAATGAATGAAGTACTCTCTCAATGAAATTAATTACTTGTAGATTTCCTAGGTTAGTCAAAGTAAATACATTTTCAAGATTAATTAATTAATCAATCAAGGATATAATGAACAAATTATAAATTTTATAAAATGACATATATTATGATCCAGCTATTTTTAGAAAGGAGTGACTTATAATATGGGACGGAGGGAATATTTATATATTATGTTTACACTAAAATTGAGAAAATAATGTTTTTGTATAATTTAAAAAAGGAGTAAACTAGAAGGTTTGGGAGTCATAAGAAAAGGACAAGAGAAGTAAAAACATGGAAGAGGAGAGTGGGTGGGTGGACATTTCAAAGAAGCAAGCAAAGGGAGTAAAAGGGAAATTCAATAGTACAATTTGCCAATAATGTTTTTTTTTTTTTGGCTTTGTGTTTTCACACATATTCAGTATTTGATATTCACATTGCAACTGGTTATTCTTAATTCACATCATATAAAATCACATTTAAACGAAAACACTTCCTACCAAATATCTTTTTTATATCTAAAGCTTGAACTCACAAATTCTAATTAAAAAAAAATAGTCTCATCCGCTCCGCTACATCCTCGGATAATATTTGTGAAGAATGTTAATCATTTTTGGGTCGTAGTATTTGGTTGAATTAACATAATAAATAAAGAAAAAGACAAAGAATAATAATTGAACAACCCCAATCCATAGCTCTATAATAGGCCAAGGGCGGAGAAATCTAGGCCACGCGAAACGAGTGGCTCAAACTTGTTCCTCCAGCTGTTAAAGACTTTGGCTCCATAACTCTAATATGTAATGGGACCAACTCCACATCATTGACATGTTCAATGTACACATATCATAATCCTTTTGTGGGTCACCACACTATCTCACTTCATCAAATCACTGCCATCCACGTGTAACAAAAAATTAAGTTTTTTTTTATTATATAAAAAAATTACTTTTATTAAACAAAA